GAAGACCAACCACAACAGGCATCCCAGGGTGCTCGTTGTCACCTATCTGGTAACCATGGTGTTGTACGTGGCTGGGGGGAAGAACATACCTTCTGTGAGATCACGAGGACGAGGAACAGGACATGAGTAGCTCGGCATCCAATCTTGTGCAAATGGGGTCTTTCATGCTGTCGTGCCTGTTGAGGGACCCTCGTATAAAAAGGCTGAAGAAGAACGACCTGTACTGGGTATCCACGCTACTAGACCCCCGGTATAAGCAGAAAGTGCCTAAAATGTTACCGAATTACGGCAAGTCGGAAAGGATGCAGCAGTTCCAAAATCAATTAAAAAGTATGCTTTACACAGCGTATAAGAGTGATGTCACAGCACAACGGGAATCTAACAGGGGAAGAGGTGAAAGTAATCCTCCTCCTCCCACGACCACGCCGGCAAGGACAGGACACTTTACAGACGTGTTGTTGATGGAGGACATGCGGACCTTTTTAAGTCCTACGCATCGCCACAGCCCTTCGGGGTCCACCCTCAGAGAGCGACTCGACCGACAGGTAGCAGACTACCTCGCCTTAACTGCAGATATCGACACTCTGAGGAGCGATGAACCCCTTGACTACTGGGTATGCAGGCTTGACCTGTGGCCTGAGCTATCCCAATTTGCGATAGAACTTCTGGCCTGCCCCGCTTCAAGTGTCCTGTCAGAAAGGACCTTCAGTGCAGCAGGAGGTATTGTCACTGAGAAGAGAAGTTGCCTAGGTCAAAAAAAGTCTAGATTACTTCACCTTTATTAAGATGAATGAGTGATGGATCCCGAAGGGACTGACAGTGGGCGATACATTCGACTAAAAAAGGCCTGATGAGGGGAACGGCCCGCCGCGTGATATTTAAATCCCTAGCTCACCCCAGTACCTTGCCCTGTCATGGTTTCCTGTTCCTGGTTTCCTGAGAGTGCTTTATCATTGTGAATCTGATTTCCTGGTATCCTGATCTTGGCTTTTCCCTGGTTATTCTGAATTCTGGTTTCCCTGACTTGGCTTGTGTAAACGGTATTGTGTATTTTCTGGCTTCCTTGACCTCGGCTTTCCCTTTGACCATTCTCTGTCTCTAGCGTATTAGTCCGGCCATTCTAAGGTCCGGTTTACGCTCTGTCCTTTTATTTTCCTTTTCTTGCCTATGTATATGTTTACATAGTTTCTGCGTGCTGGACCACACTAGTAGTCGTGACATTGGGATTAAACTGATAAGAATAGTACTACTTAACACACCACTCCTATCTGGTGGCACATTAGATTGCACGCGCAGTGCCCCAAATTTGAAGTAGGAGGACCGACCAAGCATCTTTTTCCATCTCCCGGTTCCTAAAATCGATGCCATATACACGTCCCCTGATAGGGGACGTAACAGGGATTAAACTGATAAGAATAGTACTACTTAACACACCACTCCTATCTGGTGGCACATTATATTGCACGCGCAGTGCCCCAAATTTGAAGTAGGAGGACCGACCAAGCATCTTTTTCCATCTCCCGGTTCCTAAAATCGATGCCATATACACGTCCCCTGATAGGGGACGTAACAGGGATTAAACTGATAGGAATAGTACTACTTAACACACCTTATAATAACGCAGAGAGAGGCAATGCAGAGAGAGGAGTCTGAAGAAGAGGAGTCAGAGGAGGAAGGTGGCTTTGAGGAGGTGGAAGACCAAACACAGCAGGCGTCCCAGGGGGCTTGTTGTCACCTTTCGGGGACCCTTGGTGTTGTACGTGGCTGGGTGGAGGAAGAGACCTTCAATGACATCAGTGAGGACAAGGAACGGGACATGGCTAGCTTGGTATCCAACCTTGTGCAAATGGGGAGTTTGCGGTTGTGCAAATGGACTGTTTGCGGTTGTTTGCGGTGCGTTAAACGGGGAGTTTGGTCTGTCACTGTGAAGCGGGCGTAACCCTTACACTACCTGATCGATACAACATCATACCTGATGTTTTAAAGCACGTTATTCCAAACAATTTAGGAATGTTAGGTGATTTATGCCCTTTATGGATTAAAACCAGACTCTGCATCAACTATGTAATTTTCCATGGGAGTTTTGCCATGAATCCCCCTCAGGCATGCCACAGTCCAGGTGTTCGTCCCCTTGAAACAACTTTTCCATCACTATTGTGGCCAGAAAGAGTCCCTGTGAGTTTTAAAATTTGCCTGCCTGTTGAAGTCTATGGCGGTTCGCCCGTTCGCGAACATTTGTGGAAGTTCGCGTTCGCCGTTCGCGAACCGAAAATTTTATGTTCGTGACATCACTAGTCATTAAACTTCCCTCCCACCTAAAATACACGATCAATATAATCAATATTTTACATAATTTTAATTGGTCAAAAGAAGACCAAATATGTGGGTCAAAGAACTAAAATAAATACAGATCTGCAAGCAGCAATCCACAGTAAGTGACTAGATGTTAAAAAAACAGTATAAACATAAGATAAACACAAGCAGAGTATAAACAACACAAAACTATTGGTTTATAATTTCAATTGGTCACAAGAACACTATTTAGTAGTGGCAGACGTATCATCACTATACACCATAATGGATCATTAGCAGGGGTGTAATCTCATCTATAAGGCACTCCATTCCACAAAAGATATTGAAGATACTCAAATACAATTCATCCTTAAAGGACCACTATATTGCCATGAAAACAAACTCGTTTTCCTGGCACTATAGTATTAATAGTTCCCCCCCACCATCATGTCCCCCCTCCCGCCAGGCTGAAGGGGGAGGAAGGGGGTTAAACATGCACCTTTCTCCAGCGCCAGGCTCCCTCAGCGCTGGGGACTCTCCTTCGGTCGTCATCAGCTGAATGAAGAGCCACGCGGGCATTCAGCCAGTCCATAGGAAAGCATTCTCAATGCTTTCCTATGGAAGCTGGTGTCTTCTCACTGTGAAAATCCCAGTGAGAAGCGCGGAAGCGCCTCTAGCGGCTGTCAATGAGATAGCCACTAGAGGCTGGATTAACCCATATGTAAACATAGGAGTTTCTCTGAAATTGCTATGTTTACAGCTGCAGGGTTAATCCTAGATGGACCTGGCACCAAGACCACTTCATTGAGCTGAAGTGGTCTGGGTGCATATAGTGGTCCTTTAATGAATTTGAATTCATACTCATCCACAACTACTTCTGGTTCAATGACAGATATAACCTACAGAAGAAAGGAACAGCAAAGGGGGTGAAATTTGCCACAAGTTTAGCAAATTTATGTATGGATGACTGGGAGAAGGAATATATATGGAACAACCACAAGTGTAGTCAGAACATCTGTTATTACAAGAGACACGTAGATTATATCTTCTTTATTTGAAAAGGAGAAATGGTTTGGAGGAATTTCTAGAATACCTAAATTCTAACACCTGGTAGGTTAGACTGACAACCATATACAGTAAAGAGGCAGTGGAAATTTTGGACTTGGACATCTAAACAGAGAAAGAAAAAAACTAAAAACAAAGAGTTGGGTTTAAACAGCTTTATTTTAAAAAAAGAGCGGTCATTAGCCATCATGGCTCAGGAATGTACCAAACAATGAATTTGAAAGACTAAGATGAAACTGCACAGATGGAGTCTACTTTGAACAGGCTGAAAGCATTATAGACAATTCTTAGAAAAGGAATATGATAAAGAGGAAATAAGTCATTAAAAGAAGTAGAGCAAATGGACAGATATACTTATTATATATGCCTATATAGGACAAATCCAAGCATAGAAACATGATAAATAACCAGCAAAACTTTCCCTTAAACATTCTAGACTAGAGTAAAAAGAACCTGAATCTGAACTTGCTAAAAAAAGACATAAAATTGTCTTTTTAATATTAAGAACAAACTAGTAGGCAGTCAGTGATCCACTGAAAAAAAAAAAAAGATTGTGAATAGCAACAAGAAAGATGCTTATATGCATGCAATAGTTACATTTCACGGAGAAACCCCAGAAAACAATAACACACACACAACAAAAGGAATGCATCAAGTGGTGTCGATGTTAAATAGCACAACTATTATGATCAAGGATTTTCTCACCTGTGCAAGCAATAGTGTTATCCCATGTCGACTACAGTATGTGGGCAGGATCACCTGTGCAAGCAATAGTGTTATCCCATGTGGACTATAGTACGTGGGCAGGACCACAAGAAAACCAACAACCAGAGTATGAGAGCACACATTAGAAAAAGGTGCATGCAACATTCAGTATCTGCAAATTTCGCTGAAGCCCACAATGTAGATGCAAATCTATTCGATTTTGGAGCTATCTTCCAAGTACCAAACATTGGAGAGGGGGTGATCACATTAGGGAGTCAGGAAAGAGAGAGATTAAGTGGATTATCCAATTAGGCTCACTACAACCACATGGCCTAAATGCAGATTTTGAACTTTGTCACTTTTTAGAGTTACACTCAGAAGGACATATTGTAGATGTTATTTTTAATAAATTGTAATACATATATAATGCATATGCTACTTTTAATTTAGTGTTTATTTTTCTTTCCCCAACCTTATTGAAAAGACCAGACCTAATATGTAATATCTGTAACATCTAAGATTGAGAACATTTAAGTGCAAGATTCTTTGATAATCAAGATGACATATGCAAAACTGCCCTAGGGCAGTATTTTCATATGTCTATTTTATGGTTCAAAAAGTATATATCATACACATCAATTTTTATTGTGCCAGCATCTATGCAGCAATAGCGACAATTGCTGATAGTCTTATCACTAAAATCATATGGATTATAGTAACCATAGCCACCCATTTTACAAACACATATTATGATGGGAGCTTAAAGCAACTATTCTCCCTTTAATTGTTCTTTAGAAAACTTAATAAATAATATAATATGGAATTGAGCTCAAAACTTACTTGGCCAGTGTCTTTGCAGGAAGAGCGATCCCTGCATCCATAGAGACTATAGGAAACACATGGCAACTTGATCTTATGTTTGTAAACCATTTCATGTTCACAAGGTGAATCATCCTTCAAACCAATCGGGCTAAGGATCCGAAAATATATAATATGCCCAGGACCGTGCAGCCTAATATAGAATTGCCAGTATCAGTTGCATAGCTCAAAAGAGATCTTAGGGCAGGGAATACCAATTAATTTTTCCCATGGTACCCTTGGACAGTGTATCGACAAAATTGTGCCTTTTTTTGTACGTGTCAGTGTGTGTCAAGGTGTGTATATCTGACACACAGATATATATATACACAAACACAGTGGCACATACACACACCTTGACACACAGTGTGTATGTATGTATGTATCTGTGGGTCAAAGTGTGTGTATCTGTGTTTGTATGTGCCAGTGTGTATGAATCTGACACACAGATACACACACACACTGGCAGATAGTGGCACACAGATACACACACTGACACAAACACACACACCTTGTGTGTCAGGGTGTGTATATCTGTGTTTATATGCGCCAGTGTGTGTATCTCTGTGTCAGTGTGTGTGTGTGTGTGTGTGTGTGTATATGTATCTGACACACAGATACACACACACACACACTGGCACACCTTGACACACATACACACACATCTTGAGTCACAAATACACACACACTCAGATACACACAGTGATTATATATACACACTTGCACCCACAGATACATACTGGCACATACACACACTGACACACTCAGATACACACACACAGGCACAAACAAACTCACTGATACACACTGGCACATACACACACTTAGATACACACAGTGACACATACACAAACCTTGACACACAGATACACACTGACACACATACTCTTTGACAGACACATACAATCTCACTGACACACATACACTCTCACTGACAAACACACATACTCATTTACAGACACACATATACACTCACTGACAAACACATACACTCTTGCACATTCACTCTTTGACAAACATACAAACTCCCTAACAGACACACATACAAAAAATGTTTTATTTTGTTTTACATTTTACTCCACCCAACCCCCCTACCTTTAGGAGTGCTGGCATGGAGTCCCTGTGGTCCAGTGGGACTGCTGGCGAGCGGTCCCTAGGGTCCTGCTCAGCTCCCTCGCGCGCCTCTTCGTGATGCCAGAGTGACATCATATTTCGGTTCCAGCATCACTTCTGTGGGCGCGAGGGAGCTGAGCAGGGAGATCACTGCTCCCTCACCGCCCAGGGCCATTTTATTTTTTAAACTTTTGGCGGAAACCCAATTGGTGTTCCGCAGAACACCAGTTGGGAAGCACTGTCTTAGGGGTTGCAAGTTGGCACATTTAGGGAGGAAGAGAACTCAAAAGTATAGCTCCTCCACATGTGATGATTGGTCAAAACTTTTGAAGGGGAAGGATAGTATGCAAAGTGTAAGCCTTGGTAAAGGGGTCACTATGGCAAACCATTTTTGATATTAAATTATGAAATATTTCAAAAATCAAGTTCCAATAAAGAAAATCATAGTATAACCCAATACTAGCAATAATATAAAGTTCTTTTTTGCAACTTTGTATCATAAAAATAAAGACAATGCATTTGAACAAAGTTGCTTTTTAAATGACTCCCTCATAGTGATGTCCCGAACGGTTCACCGAACGGTTCGCCACGGACTCCAGTCAGCAGACACATTCCAGCCAATCAGCAGCAGACCCTCCCTCCCAGACCCTCCCACCTCCTGGACAGCATCCATTTTGAAGCTGCATTCTTAGTGAGCTGTCCAGGAGGTGGGAGGATCTGGGAGGGAGAGTCTGCTGCTGATTGGCTGGAATGTGTCTGCTGACTGGAGTCCGCGGCGAACCGTTCGGGACATCACTACTCCCTCACTGCACTGCTTTGCTGAAATTAAGTGTATCTTAAGAAAATGCAACACACAGACCAACCCAGAAGCTGTCGGGATGCCACATGGATATTACAACAAACATTTGCAGATGGATATGACAGGACATTTTAGTAGGAAATATATATTTTTTTATCATACAATTTTGCTATTTCTTATTCCTTTTGTTTAATCAAACTTAAATTATTATATTGTTCAATCTATTCTAATAAATGAATTAACGACTTGTCAGTTTTTATATAATTTATTATAACTCATCTTCTTTTTACAATCATTTTATCACATTACCCATATCGTGATAAGAGTGATTATAATTTGATGTATGCTGTTTTGTATTTACCGTTTGTTTGCTGGCTATTAGAATTTCAATACATATAAAGGTTATCCACAGTAGTGAGAAAGCACAGTCCATTTTCAGTTTTCTATTTTATTATTGATTCATAGATTAGAAGTATTGTTGTATTAAGGATCTACACGATTACCTCCTATATTTATCCCTAGCATAGCTATATAGCTAACTCAAAATATATATTGGTTTAATTGTTTTTTTTTTCCACTCCCCCTTTGTATACATCCAGTATAATCTTGTTTATGTATTATAGAGCTCCACAACAAATACAGGAATTAAACGCAGAACATTTTGTGGCATGACAGAGCTTACACGCACCAAGAAAGTAATGCTTGTGGGTCTTAGCATCATTGCAGTGCCTCACAGAAATAACATATGCAGTTAGATTCAAAATAAGAGCAATTAGATCATTTTATTTACATTTTAATCACAATCCAGGGCTGGTATTCAATCAATAATGTCTTCTAGGCTTCAGTTATAATTCTGTGTGTTTTCAAAGCAAACTTAGATAGTGTTATCGATTTGAAAGTGGGCTTAACTTCAATCGTCATCATTAATGACGCAGTCTCGAGAGGTTAACAAACAAAATGGATCCCTCTTGGATATAACCTGTCTGTTTGCCTGTTATGGTGCAGTGTTGATGATAATAGTTTATATGTGTCATTAAGTCATTGTGTTGCTCATAGACATGGATAGCATGTATGTTTCCATAAGCATGTTTAAATGAGATATTTTGGTTACATGTGTAAATGTGTATTGGTTGATACAATGTGTATTATCGATTTTGCTATGTTATCTTAGTGTAATACTTGTGATTTATTTTCTATAACTGATTAACAAGGAAGCCTTTGAATATGTCTAATGATATTGCTTCCACATGTCTTAAACTCCTGTCAGGTGGTTGGGATGTTTGTTCTGCTCATTTGGAAAAAACTTAAGCTTATTTTTGACATAATGATTAATTAATTGAAAAGTATTTTCGGTGAATTATCAAGACGTTGTTACTTGGTGTACAATAGTTCCATTAATGTGTCGATCTACCTTGATAGTTATGTTTTAAGCTTGATTGCTTAACTTCTGGTACAGAGCTAATTTTTGTCAAAATTAAGTCAAAATTGATGTAAAAATATTGAAACTGTGATTGTTCACATCATAATCATTATCATTATCATCTTATTGACAGCTGTAAACATGTTGATTATTATTATAGAATAATAGATTGTGATTGTGGACCTAATTTGATAAATGAAGCTTGTGTACTGCAAAATAGTTTGGAACATAAGCGTGATGGAGAATGTTTCCATCTCAAGCATTTTTGAATACTGCAAATTCAGATTTTAGTTTACCACTACTACTACAATTGTTACTCAAACTATAACTATATCTATGTAAAATGTGTTTACATACAATTTATGGTATTTATTTGCCATGTATGACATTAATGGATGGTCATTTCAGAGGTGGTTGCAGCAGCCTAAATTTCTCCAGGTAAGATTAATCTGGATTACCAAGAGCCTGACACTGGAGGGTTATAAACTGATGTTTCACAAATTGAGCACCCTTCACAGACACAGTTTTCAGCTAGAGGGGTCATTGTGTGCTCCTCACTTTGTATGTATGCAACTTACACCCTAAATGGTAGTGAATTAGGGATAACCACACACAAGAAGGATTTGGGAATTGTTATAGACAACACATTGGGCAGCAATATGCAATGTCAATCTGCAGTTGCTAAAGCCAGTAAGGTTTTGTCATGTATAAATAGGGGCATAAATTCTCGGGATGAAAATATTATTTTGCCTCTTTATAAATCGCTGGTAAAACCACACCTTGAATATGCTGTACAATTTTGGGCACCTGTTCTAAAAAAGGATATAGGACTAGAAAAAGTGCAGAGACAAGCTACAAAATTGATGAAAGGAATGGAGCATTTTAGTTACGAAGAAAGGTTAAAAAATTTAAATTTCTTTAGCTTGGAAAACCGGCACCTCAAAGGGGATATGATAACATTATACAAATATATTCGGGGCCAGTACAAACCGTTATCTGGAAATCTATTCATAAACAGGGCTATACATAGAACACAAGGTCACACATTTAGGCTGGAAGAAAGGAGATTTCATCTAAGGTAAAGAATTTTTTTTTTTTTACAGTAAGAGCAATAAGGATATGGAATTCTCTGCCTGAAGAGGTGGTTTTATCAAAGTCCCTACAGATGTTTAAACTGCAATTGGATAAATACTTGCAAAAACGTAATATACAGAGATATAATTTCTAATTAGTGGGATAATAGCTGCTTGATCCAAGGAGACATCTGACTGCTATTTTGGGGTCAAGAAGGAATTTTTTCCTAGTTTGTTGCAAAATTGGAAGCTCTTCAGACTGTGTTTCTTGCCTTCTTTTGGATCAACAGCAAAAACTTTTGTGAGGAAGGCTGAACTTGATGTACGCAAGTCTCTTTTCAGCTATATAACTATGCCTAGTTTAATACTGCAATACTGTTGCACATTAAGGTATTTGAGCATTCCTAGAACCACCTTTAATAGTTAGTGGCATTGTCTAAGACTGCCTTAGAGCCCTAACAATTGGCAGTAATTCTTGGTCTGGACTACTCAGTATAACCTGGGGCAAACATTTGTCAAAAGAAACACTAACTTCTTTGTTAGAGGACCAAGGTCAGTTTGTAGTGACTTCAGCATTGTCAAGTTTGCAAGTCCAGCATCCTGACCTAATGGTCGATGCATCATTCACTTTATCCATCTGACCCATATGCTCCAACCTCCCAGCAGCGGCGTACATACCGCGGTCGCAGGGGTCGCAGCTGCGACCGGGCCAGCCACTCCAGGGGGCCCGGCCGCCCAGCGGACCCCTGTGACCGGGTATCCGCTGCCATCATCTTCTGCGTCCCCTGCCTGGCCTCAGTCCAAGGGGTCCATTGGGTGGCCCATGCTGTCAGGGCCACCCGATGGAGCTGGTTTGTCAGGGGGCCCGGTCAGTGCAGGGTGCTTTAAGAGCGTGACCGGGCCCTGGTGATGAGATCACACGCTGGGAAGAAGTGACCACACGTTACTCCTCCCAGCTCACACTGAGATCCGCGAGGAAGGAAGACCAGGGAGTCAGAGTGGGAACTCTGACTTCCATTCACCTGAGCCACCATTGGACTCCAGTCACCTGCACCTAAAAGGTAGGAAACAGGAGGGTGACAAACATTTTGTGTGTGTGTGTTTGTATGTATGTGTGTTTGTATGTCTGTATGTGTGTGCCTGTCTGCCTGTATGTATGTCTGTGTATGTATGTCTGTCTGTGTGTGTGTGCCTGTATGTGTGTGCTTGTCTGTTTGTATGTATGTGCATCTTGTGTGTGTGTGCCTGTCTGTTTGTGTGTGTCTGTCTGTATGTCTGCCTGTGTGAATGTGTGCCTGTCTGTTTTTTATGTATGAGTGTGTGTCTGTATGTGTGTCTTGTGTGTGTGCCTGTCTGTCTGTGTGTGTCTTTATGTGTGCCTGTCTGTTTATATGTATGTATCTGTGTGCCTGTCTGTGTGTCGGTCTGTGTGTGTCTGTCTGTATGTATATATGTCTGCCTGTCTGTCTGTTTGTATGTATGTGTCTGTGTGTGTGTGTGTGTTGGGGAGGTGTGGTGGGGTGGGGCCCACCGATCATTTTCGCACCGGGCCCCATGGTTTGTGTGTACGTCACTGCCTCCCAGCATGAACATGGTGCAACACTTCATCCAGGTGACCTGCGTGTGGTTGTGAAATGAGAAATCATCACAATAAACACAGGTATGATATCTTAGATCCTTGAAGAGTTGTCCACCAGGCTCTGGAAGACTAGGAAAGCATCTGTTTTTTTATTCCAAAGAGCATATTTTTTCACAGTATATTCTACACAGTGAATTGTACTGCCATTTCGTTATCCTTTCCAAGGTCATGCATCACATATATATATATATATATATATATATATATATTTAAAAAAAAAAAAAAAAAACATTCTTCAGAAAAAGCAATTTGGCTGTTTTTATATATGACACAAATATTTTAAATTACTTTACAAAAATTACTACTAAAAACATGAAACTTTTTAATACTGTTCATATTATGCATTCAGAGTATTACATCTATGCTCTTGCAAGGCAAATATTTTTTGTGTTTGAAATGACTGATGTTTTGGAGCATTTCAAGAATTTATCCTTGAATGTTTATTGATATAGAACACAAGATAAGCAGTATTGAATCTTCGAGGAGAGCAAGAGAGACTAGAAACATCAAAATGTGTAGCGTCAAGCTGAAACACACAAGTTCATATCATTGTTTGTTTGAAATAAACATTAAAGAAACTAGAACAATGAAACTGTGAGAGAATGAAAAAAATATTCACAGGGTGATTAAAAAAAACTGTGAACATAACAAATTCACACTGATTTAAAAAATAACCTTGAACCATCTGTACAGAGATAATACGTATAAAAGATAATGACATATTGGATAGTTTACAATTACTAATAGTAGTTCTCAGAGTTGAAACTAATTAAAACAATCTCCATCTATTAGTCAGCCATGTAACATGAATAAAAAGTACAATAAAACACAATACAATAAAATATAAAGCCAACAGATAACCAAACAGTAATATAGTGAGTGAAGCAAAGTTCCAAAAAACAGCTGACGAGAAAACCATAAAACAGAATAAGCTGGAAAGATACATTTATATCAGTTATGTTTGACAGAATCATGCAGATCTCTGCATATATTAGACATTTTTAAAAACTACAGATAATGCATGAAATTAAAACATTTATATAATTTTATTCATATAGGAAAACAACAGAATCCTACATGTGGTAGCGGATCTTGATAAATATATTAGACATTACATTAGGTTTGACACTCGTCCATTAATGTAGAGCATGGTTGTCTAAAATGTAGTTTCCCAAATCATTCAGAACTACAAATTTTCGATGCTTTGCTATTGTAAAAAATGTTAAACATATATAATAGTTGTAGTTCCAGATCTAGAGCATCTAGGAATTCAACTTTTGCGCATCCCTGATTTAGGGGAATAGCAAGTAAGAATGCATCAAACAAGCAAAGATAGAGGGACAAAGCCATATCGTTACCTCCAATTTTGTAAAACCATTTGGAGAGATCTCTTAATTCTGCCTTTACTCTTTGGTCTTTTAAAGACAGAGGGTGCATATTATGCTTGTGTTATTATTCAGTCTCTGTCAATAATACATTCCATCTGCATGGAGAGAGTAGGGAAGTAAGAGCTGTGCAATTGAGGGCCAGATCTTATCCACTAAAAGTAAAACAAAAAACAAAATAAACCCCAATCAAAAAGGGGCAAAGGTATAGGACCTCTGAGGTGCAATAGTAAATGAAGTTTCCTACAAGTCGTGAGTTCTTTTTTTGACAGGTTGAAACATAGGCAAAATGTTACTGAATGCTTTTCTCGAAATTGTGTTTCCTTTCTGAACTAGTTCACCTTATTACTGTTGTGTAAACAAATTAAGTAAATTAAAACCTCCCAACCAATGACAGCTCATTTATGTGGGTAGGTGGGTCCAGGTGTCTTCTTCCCTACATGAGTTAAACCATTTGGCAATGGTTTAGCTCCAAAAAGTCAGAGCACTGATGCCCAGCGCATCTATTCCAGCTTCCTTTTGATCTACTTTGCGGTATGAGGAATGGTTAGATTATCACCAGCTAATTGGCTAAATCTTCCTCATACTAACAGATAAGATGGAAGCTGGAAAGAAGAGGTGACCGAGCACCAACTTTGGCGTTAACTGTTGCCAAACTGCTTAAATCTTGAAGTCAAGAAGGTGCCCAAACACTCCTGCCACCATAACAACCTAAATGAGCTTGAGTTGTTACAGGAATGGGAGTGTTTTTTTAGTAAGGAGTGCATACAAACAATCAATATATTCCATTACATTTTTAAAAATAATTCAGATTTTTTTTTAATATATTTTCACAATTATTTTCTGCCTCTCGTACTGAGAACACATTCCCTAGCATGCACGTCAGCTGTTCTTTCTAATTGGCTAGCCTTTTTAATCTTTGTAACAGGTTTTATATTTGGTGTAGGAAATGGGAAATAGGAGACAAATTATATAAAATGAGCATAGTATAATGTGTTTTACATCCTATAGGTTTTACATTTGAATAAGTAATATTTCTGACATACAGGTGGATGTTTTAATACAATGTTGGCATGGCTGATGACTGATTAATATAAAATATTTAACAGCAAGCTTTTTTTTTTTTTTTAAAACAGTGACCATATTCACAGAAAAGGATGACAGACGAATCCACTCCTGCTTGCCTCCAGAGGAATGAGGGGGGCAAATTGTTTGTATATAACATATTAAAGGGGCACTATAGTCACCTGAACAACTTCAGCATAATGAGGTTGTTCAGGTGTAAGCACTTACATTGGAAGCTTGGAACACCTCTTGTTGCAGTCAATCAGACGGCCACCAGAGGGACTTCCGAGTTCAGAAGCCCTAAAAAGGCTTCATTCACATCTGAAGTATTCATACATGCGTGAATACTTCAGACGGGCTATCAGCACACAAAGCACTGTGAACGCGCTTTGTGTGCTGAGGCTGTCAGCACTGCGTGGGAGTGGCTTCGTCTGACAGGCTGAAGACCGAAGAGGAGGAGGGGAGGATTCAAACTGTAAGTAAACTTATTTAGTGAGTGTGGGTGGGTGACTGAGGGTGAGTGGGTGAGGATGGATGATGGGAGTGGATGGATATGTATGATGGGAGTGGATGGATATGAATGATGGGAGTGGATGGATATGGATGATGGGAGTGGATGGATATGGATGATGGGAGTAGATGGATTTGGGTCTGGATGATGAGAGTGGATGGATATGGATGATGGGAGTGGATGGATATGGATGATGGGAGTGGATGATATGGATGATGGGAGTGGCTGGATGGGGATGATGGGAGTGGATGGATTTGGGTATGGATATGGATGATGGGAGTGGATGGATGGATATGGATGATGGGAGAGAATGGATATGGATGATGGGAATGGATGGATATGGATGATGGTAATGGATATGGGGATGGATATGGATGATGGGAGTGGATGGATATGGATGATGGGAATGGATGATGGGAATTGATGGATATAGATGATGGGAATGGATGGGTATGGATGGATGGCTATGGATAGAGAAAGTGTGTGTGTATGTCTAATTTTTTACTACTTGTGTGTTTGCATAGAAACACTGTATATAGAGAGATCACAGTTTGGCTGAGGAGGGGGGGCGGGTATAGAAAGCAAGCTGTACTGTCAGACAGCTCAGCTCGCGAACGCGCATTCCGCGCTGAGTTTCTTCATAGGGCAGCATTCAATGCCGCTCTATGAAGAATGCGATTGGTGCAGCGCGAAACCGCGCACGCGCACCACATCGCGATGACACTTCTCAAGGAGAAGCATCCTATTGGGCCCTGCGATTTCGTCATTTTGACAAAAAAGGGGGCTTGGCCTAGCAGGGAGCTCGGCGCTGGAACGGAGGTAAGTTTTATTATTAAAACTTACTCGGATTAATTTTTTTATTTTTTTTTATGGCAAGTTTATATAAAAGCAAGAAAGAAGGCTGGGGGACCTGTCTTTCTTGCTTTTATATGTTGACTATAGTGTCCCTTTAATATAACAAGTCTTACTAGATATTGTTGGTGTTATTATCTTTTTAAATGATCAGCCATTTTAACACTGACATTTTAACATTACAACCATTAACATCCTTGATTACGGAGCATGATTTCTTCTTAAAATCCCCAATGCATCCTTTTACTGATAGAGCGTAAAAACTATAAATGTTATAAAGTGATATATAATTGAGGTTGATCATTAAATTGTTATTAGTTTAAAGGTGGCTATATTTAGCCTTTTCTGAGGAGGCTGAATTACTCATTGGAAGGTTGCATCTGACTCTCACAGATATTCTCTTGCTGCTTATTTAGGACACTATAGTCACCAGAACAACAACATCTTATTGCATTTCTTCTGGTGAGTATAATCATTCCCTTCAGCGTTTTTGCTGTAAATACTGTCTTTTCAGATAAAATGCAGTGTTTACATTACAGCCTAGTGATAACTTCACTGGCCACTCCTTAGATGGCTGTTAGAGATCCTTCCTGGGCCAGTGCAGCACTGCCATTTAGAGTATTCTCCCTCTGCATGGAGACACTGAACCTTACTCACATAGATACATTGACAGGAATAAAAATCTTACCTCAAAGGGTTAAACCACTCTCAAACAGTTTAACCCCGAAGTTGTGTCCAGGGCTGATCTCAGCTCTCCCCAGTGCGGCATCTGGCTTCTGAAATGTCACTTACGGTAAGCATTGAGTGCTACCATGCAGGGTGTGCCGCTGATTGTCTGAGATAGGTCAGCTGATGCTTTCAGCCATTCAGTGACTCACCATTTACAAAACTGGCTTGGAAAGAAATGTACCTTTTGCAACTTAGATGCTGAATGATCCCCATAGAGATGCACTGATTCAATGAATCTTTATTAGGAGATGCTAACTAGCGCAGCACAGTGTTTTGCCATACATCTGCAAAAGCCACCCAATGCTTTCTTATGGGAAAGTATTGGATTGGCTGAGATCATCAAGATTGATGATCTGAGTTATGGAGGCGGGGCAGCCATGGTGAGACCAGCAGGGCCATGGAGAAAACATAAGAAAAATTATCTTTTAGCTCCATTCTGAGGAGGCAGTCATGTTTGTATTGCTAACACTATAATGTTCCTTTAACAACCGGAAGGTAACAGGGCTGGTTGTCTGATTGATACCCAGGTGAGTGCAACAAGATTAATTTATAAAAGTGTAGCCCCATGTAGCCAAAGCGCAGCTAAGCGGAAAAAGGCCTTGACAGGGGTTAGGAGGCGGGCATAGGAGGAGGGAAGGAAGTAGGGAGTTATGGGTAAGTAGGCTTGGCTATTTAAATAGGCAGCCATTTTAAAGCCTTCACTTTTAATTACTACCTTGCTGAGTTTGTGTGCACTCCTGTGTCCACAGATTTGGTTTGGTGGGGTCTTTGTTTTTCTCTCCTTCTGCAGGGTCGAAGGATAACATGGAGGAGCTGTTGGAGCGGATCCGGTTGGCGGCTCAAGGACGTGGCGTGGACTGGCTGCGGGCGCAACTTGGACCAGCCCTGGCGGGTGCTGCGGATCATGAGGGCGGCGGAGGTCGGCCTGTGCGGGCTCGGAGGCCGCCGAGACGGCTGAGCCCAGGCGCGAGTCCGGTGGAGACGGTTCCAGCGGCCGGGCGGCGGCGGGACCAGGCCGAAACGGACCCGGTAGCCGCATGGTTGAGGCTCCGCCTCCCGGCGCGTTACCGGGACGTCGGAGAAGCGGTAGCCGGCGGGAGGCTACCCGGGAGTCGGACGGTGCAGCTCCCAGTGCGGGGAGGGCTGCGCCTGGAGCGGGGGCCGCGGGAGACATCGGGCGGCCCCCTGGAACCGGTGAGGACGCGGGATTGCAGCCCGGGAGGGCATCTACTACACCCATGGCGGGGACTGGCGGGGCCGGTGCGGAAGGAGCTCGCGGACCGCCCCTGGAACAGGCAAGTGCAGGGGGTTCCGGCCGGGACCCCCTTGGCGCGAATCAGCGCAGGAGGACTGGGCACAGGGTTCAGAGACCTGGGGGGGACGTGGAGAGGGGTCAGGTGCCTTCTAGAGCGGGGGCAGGGAGGTCTAGGGGGGAGGGTGCGCAGGGTAGTTCCAGGGTAGTGAGCTTGGAGCGAGGGCCAGTAGCCGGGAGGGTGGAAGGGCCAGGGGGTACGGCAGGGGGAAGTTTGCCATCAGGGGGGGGCAGGAGGTCGAGGTGCGCAGGGCGTTCAGGACAGGTTAGGGGTGCGGGGTCTGGGGACCGGCTGGAGGTACCGAGGGGAGGGGGTGCTTCTAGTCGGGGGGCCCGCCGGGGTGGGGGGTGGGGATTTCCCTGCGCTGGTGAGCAGATAGGTGGGCGTAGTTCTGGGGGGGGTTCAGGTTTGGGGTCAGGTGATAGCAGCCCGTCACCGGTTAGGGCCCGGGGGTCCGGGGGGTTTAAGGGAAGGGCTCGGCGTGTTAGGTCCTCATCTAGTAGCTCAGGGGGGGAGAGTGTCATGGCCCCCAGGCTGGTTACACGGGGGCGGGCCTCTGGTAGAAACGGGAGGAGTCGTAGTCCCAGAGGCAGGGCCGATCGGGCCTTGGGTGGGCGAAAAGGAGTGGTTGCGCGACGGGAGGCTCTGGTGTCCAGCGGGCGCTCTCAAGGTCGGGACGGGGGGGCTGCTCATGACCAGTATGCTCTGCCCAGGACTTCTTCTCCTCGTTACAGATCTCGGAGCCGCTCCGCATCTGATGTGGCCGGGCACCGGGTTGGCTCCCCGGTTGGAGGATCGTTAACGGATGTCGCTCATCCTGGTCAGGGGACAGTACACAACGCAGCCCCAGGAGCTTCGGGGTCGAGGGGCTTGGCCGGTGAGTCCTCTGCTTCTCTGCACTCCAGTGCATTGGTTCATACACTTCAAGCACTTCTCCACTCACTGGGAGCGGGGGGTGCCACAAAGGGCGGTGTGGGGCAGGTTTGGGCTCAGGGGGCCGGGGTGGCGGGCCCGAGCGAGGTTCCCTCCGCGGAACAGAGTTCGGGTGGGGACACTGCAGTGACGGTTACTGGGGCGGAGGCGACGAGCGAGCGGGCTGAGTTGACGGGGGGGGTGGTTCCTGATGCGGCCAGGCAACACGCATATGTGTCGTTTGCGGGTCCGCTGGGGGTCCACCTCAAACAGGAGGTGAAGGAAAAAATCTGGAAGGGTGACTTCTGCGAGATCTTTTCTCTTCTCCCTTTGGAGGATTTTATTGATCTCAAAGAGGACGATAAAAAAGATGAGAAGAAGGAGGAGGAAGAGAAGAAGAAGCGGTATCGTAAGATTCCCAAGTCTTTCGGTAACTGGCTGAGGGCCTTTTGCGTGTTGGCCAGTGTTCTGGGCGAGAAATCGCCGGGCCTGTGCTCCTCTCTGTTTTGTTATTTGGATGGCATTTGGGAGGCGTATCGCACCTATGGCGGACTGGCATGGTGGCGGTATGACGAGCAATTCCGGCAGCGTTTGGCGGCTAATCCGGGTATGCGGTGGGATCAAATGGACCTGCCTCTCTGGATGAAGCTGATGATGGCGCAAAAAGCGCAGCCATTTCAGCCCACGGCCGGCGCAAAGGGGCAGTCCGCCTCGTCGGCCGCCATGCAAAAGGGCTTCTGCTGGCTCTTTAACGAGGGCCAGTGCAAATGGGGAAACGCCTGTCGCTTTAAGCACGAGTGTTCGGGCTGCGGAGGCGCGCATGGGCTCAACCGGTGCTTCAAAAAAGGGAAGTCAGGGCACACCGGGGTCCCTACCTCGGCTGGGGGGGGGAGGGGGAGTTTCGCTTGCCCCGGGGCCTAACCCCGGTGAGGCTAGACGCGATGGAGCCGTGGCTAAGCCGCTACGGTAATAAGGCAGATGCCGTGGCGCTCCGGGCGGGGTTTGGTCAGGGGTTCTTTATCCCTTTCCGGAACCGGGGGGGGGACTGGGGTTCGGCGCAACCTTAAATCGGTGGCTGAGTTCCCGGGTGTGGTGCGGGAAAAACTGGGCAAGGAAGTCAAATTGGGAAGGATGGCAGGGCCGTTCCCGGCTCCTCCATTGGAGGGTCTGCGGGTTTCCCCGCTCGGGGTGGTTCCCAAGAAGGAACCGGGCAAATTCAGGCTCATTCACCACCTCTCCTACCCGGAAGGAGAGTCGGTGAATGATGATATTGACAAGGACTTGTGCTCGGTCTCATACGCATCATTCGACAGGGCGGTCGAGCTGGTAAGGAAGGCCGGGCGCGGGGCACTGTTGGCTAAGGTGGATATTGAAGCAGCGTTTCGGCTGCTTCCGGTCCACCCAGCGTGTCATCACTTGCTGGGGTGTTTCTTCGACGGGGGGTACTTTGTGGATTTGTGCCTTCCAATGGGTTGTGCTATCTCCTGCGCCTACTTTGAGAAGTTTAGTACTTTTCTTGAATGGGTGGTCAAAGTTGAGGCGGGGAGTGGGGCTGTGGTACACTACCTAGACGATTTTCTCTGCGTAGGACCGGCGGGCTCCCCCGCCTGCCTACACTTGCTGAGAACGGTCGAGTGGGTGGCTGGCCATTTCGGGGTCCCGCTGGCGGCGGACAAGACAGAAGGGCCGGCTCAGTGCCTTAGTTTTCTGGGGTTGAAAATAGATACGTTGCAAGGGGAGTGTCGGCTGCCGCTGGAGAAGTTGCGGCGGCTGAAGGAGGAGGTGACGACGGCGGCTCAAGCCCGTAAGGTTACGTTGCGGCAGCTGCAGTCGTTGATCGGGATGCTGAATTTTGCATGCCGGGTGATCCCAATGGGTAGGGTGTTCAGCCGGAGCCTGTCGGCAGCGACGGCAGGGGTGCGATCCCCGCGTCACTTCATTCGGGTGCCGACTTGGCTGTATGGGAGACCTTTTTGCGGGAGTTCAATGGGAC